AGATGGCAAAAGATTTTTTTATATAAGCTCCATGAGAGGTGTGAATCATCCTGTAACTGCCATGCACTAGATCAAGAAGTAGAAAAATGAATATCTGCAAATGAAGCATCAGTGTAACTGAAACATGGCGCAGAACAGCAGGCCTGTAATGTGCCTTGTGCCGTGGTGAGGCGCCGCAGCAGGCTCAGATATGGACACACAAGGGAGCTCTGCAGAGGCTCGCTGGCTGTGGCCGGGGCAGAGCAAGTGCTGGGTAGTGTCAGTAATTTCATGGTTCAGAGCAGTAATTTCCCATAGTGTACTGAAGCAATAAGCATTTGCTGCACCAGCTTCAGGCTTTCACTTGTGTCATTGCATGGATCTCCTTTATTAACAAAAACCTTTCAGTTTCCAACAGCTGCTAATCAGAACTGATAACATCTCCCATGACATTTTCCACTCTGCTGTGTTGACCTATAGCTGTCACGGTTTAATGCACCAGCCTGGACATCCTCTGGGCTTGTAGCTGCTAAAATGCAGAGTCAGGGAGGGTGATGTTTCAGAGTCATTTCTACAGCCCCGTAGCTTTCAGAGCTCTCAACCATCATGGTTACTGTGTCTACATTTGAAACTGTGGAAACGTTCCAACAAAACAGAGCAGCCCATGTATTTAACAAAGCAAGTCAGAATAAGCTAAGGCCGAGCCTTGCTGATCTGCTGGTTAGACCGATTCCTTCATGTATGTAAGGTTCAACTCCTGTGTACTGATAAGAAAAGCCCTTCCTGGAACTAGTCCCAGCAACTCTATTCATGGCCATGACCTCTCCCAGCAGCTTTGTCGACGCAAGCCTCAGTCTTGTTAAGCAATACGCTGAGTGGAAGTGTTGAAAACTTTTCCAGAAGCTGGAGTTACAACATAGAGCTGGTTCAGGCTTCTGAGCAATGGAAAGTGAGTGTAAATTCATCCCCAACTTTAGTTTTCTCAGTAAGTTCTACATGCACACCCCTCCAGTAAACTAGTTGAGTAAAATCTCCTGTAATGGTAGAAATGGTACTGATGGGGATCCTGTCAAGTTAGCTAACAAATATCTCAAAGGTTTATGTAGCTTATTGCTGGGATGTTTACTATCTTTCCATTGTGAGAAAGGCAAGGGTAGGGGCAATCTCAATAAATTTTAGTAATGACAGTACAAAGTTTACTAGTACACAGCCTGGTTCTAGTCTTGACTTGCTTTAATGGTGACTTAAGCGTGGTGTTGGGGTGGCCTTTTTTTCTCCTCAAGTCATCAATCCAGGATGCCTGCACAGTAACCAGAAAAGATGTTATCAGCCGAGAGCTCAGTGTGGTGTGTGGATGCCTCTGGATTTACCCAACTTCTTGAGAAAATCTTTAAAGGTAGTAGTAACATCCTGTTTAAAACTTGTTCAGGTTTGAGATGCCAAGCTGTAGGCATTGCAGCTCATGGTTGGAGAACATCTAACATCCTTTAGCTGCACTATGTAGTACATTCTATTCACAGTCATTCTGTTTTCAGTGGTCAGTCTCTGTTGTCCCAACTAGTCTTCTCTGAGATGAGTTAAAGGTTCCTTCCTCCTTTATTCTTACTGCTTCATGGCCGTATATTTTCATTTCCCTGCTCCAACATCTTGACTAGGCTAAAGGTTTAAAAAAGTTAGTGTGCATATTTATGGAGTCAGTATTTCCTGATGTGAGAGAAGAAAGCAGGATTTTGTAATAGCCAGTGAGGTACACCCAGCTTTTCCCAACACTGCAACATGAACAGACCCACAGAGGCAGGGAACCATCTGTGCCACGTGTTAGCTCTTAATTCTAGCTGTACTGTAACTCATGACAACAGGGCATGGTTGTTTCCTACTGTATCAGCACGCAGCTGTTACCTGAGGGAGATTGCGGTGTGACGGTAAGACCGGCTCATCTCTGATGTGCAGCATGCTGTGCAGCTGTTACCTGAGGGAGATGCGGTGTGACGGTAAGACCGTCTCATCTCTGCGGCTCATCTCTGATGTGCAGCATGCTGTCAAATTGGAGAGAGGTGACCAGATTCGCCTTCTCATTTATACAGCTGCTTCTTGTTGAAGAGATCGTATGTTGCCTTGTATTTGTTCTAAGCTGTTGACTTCAGGTTAAGTGAGGGTGGCATCAGGCTCAGGCTGTTCTATGTGTGTCCGAGGACAATCGAAATACTTCTGCTAGCCCTTGAAATGCCTTGCTGAGAGCAGGGTGCTGGTACTGTACTAGCACATGTGCCATTTAACCCGAGCCTACTGCCTTTGTACTAAGTCTGAGGTACCAGAGGGAGTCAGTACAAAGTACTAGTCCGTAGCCTGCACTTGTGTGCCCAAAAGAGTTTTGGGAAGGCTTGCCAGGGTAAAGAGCACTCCGTGATTTGATGCTGAGGTCCCTGTGTGAACTTCTTCCAACGCATAGGCTATTCTAGGGAACTCTTACAGGTGTGATAGGACAAACTGAGCAAAAATCGTTTAGCTTTATCTTCCCTGTTGTTGGTGGTTGGTTGTTGGTACCTTGGCTCATTATACTGTATTTCCTTTTGTCTCAAGTTTGGATAAAAATATTGAATACATCAGAAAATATTGTCTGGGCTAATAACAATTTAGTGCTATTTTTCCTGCTGCTTAAATCGGCATCTTGCTAATGCATGTGCTACGCAGAGGTATGTATATTGTCTGCTTACAAGCTCCCTTTAGAGACCAGCAGCCCAAATCTTCACTGCTGCTGGGGCTACTTTGCACCACTCTGTCAGTACGGAGCAGCCCAAGGACTAGAGCTAGGTGCTCGGTGATACTTGTTTCCTGAGGGAGGGCTGCAGATCAAGGCTGTGCCCAGCCTGTGGGCCTGTGCACCTGCTTGCTTCTTAGGGAGGCTGTGAGAAAAGGCAACTACTTTAGTAAATCAGAGTAAATCCTTTGTTTCTGCAAAGGATTGGTGAGGCTAGAACCTAATGGACATCGTTCTGTTTCACCCAGAGACGTCAAGAAACTGCTGCACCTGCAGAAGATCCTGTCAAGATATCAAACAGCTATCTTGAATTGAGGTGTTGGGAGAGGCAGAATGTTGTATAAAGACTTTAAAAGTCTCTTGGAGTGAGGAGTTCTCATAAATGAGACATGGTTGCTCTGTAACAGAACATTCTCCATAGGCGATTTAACAAGAATTGGAATTAAAGCTGGGGTTGGGGGGGACGGGGAGGAGGAGGGGAGGTAATGTAGCTGCTATGCCAAAGCTTTCAGAAGCTTGCAGTGTGCAGTCTGGGCCCTGACTGTAATCAGTGCTTTTTCTAGGCGGGTATGAGGGTATGAGCTCACACTATACTCGCACCACAGCTGCATATATGTTTTCCAAAATACACTTTTGAAATTATATATATGCCTTTTTAGAATACTAATCATCTCTGTGGTCATTCATTCCTGGAATTAATGCCCAGTCTTTTAGAGAAAATAAGTTAACAAACTGACAGCTGCTCATAGTGAGTCACTTGCTGGAGAGCCCTGTGCAAGTATAACATCCACCGTAAATCCTTCTTTTGCTTCTGATAGTCCAGTGAAGTGATGGCTGAAGAAATCGGGCAATAACTTCATCTGTCAAAGTGGTTCTTGGCTATATATTAGATTCAGGAATGGGAAAATGTAGCTCACTAAATGTAACCTCACAGTCAGACTATCAATAGTCATCAGTCCTGCATATCCAGATGGCAAGACAAGATGGGCCAAAAGGGTACCGATAGCTGGGGAACTCTTCTAGCTCCATTACCAAAATAAATTGAAATATCAAGGCTTTGGGCTAGAGTAACAGACTGCTCATTCCAAAAGCAAATGCCATGTTCTCTGCTGTGTGGGCAACCTATCTGCTCACAGAGCCCCAAGGGACCATGGTTGCTTTGGCTCTCATAGCATGTAATGAGGCAGAAAGCAGATTTATAGGTTGTTCTTGCTGTCCTAACAGTGGCTCTGCTGGGAGCTGCTACTGCACTAGCTGGCTGGGCTGGCTGCATTTTCAGATCAGAATGTCCACAGTAATCAATAACTATCTTTCATCAGCAATTAACCATTAACTTATGGCAAATAGCAGGACTTTTTTTCATAACCTTTGGTTACAAATAAACAAACAGACATAACATTTCAGGAACCTTGGATAAGGTAACAAATATTCTCAAATTTCAATTTCTTAGGTCAGAACTTGCCTAGTGACCAACATTTGCTGAATACTTTGTTTGCAGTGAACTGTTGGATTTATCTGGTATCTAGCTAGTAATACAGCTTAACTTGGGACATTGATATTTGATGACAATAAAGTGAGAATAGCACATTTAAACTGATCAAACTACACAGCACATAGAAGTGACTGTGAATGCTGAAACATGTTGTTTTCAGAAATGGGTTCTAGAATATGTCTTGAACATTTAGGAGCCAGAGAGATTTGTGGGTCTCATGTTGTCTATAGCTGTTTTCTCATTGAAAGCCCAAGCTAAATCTCAGCAGTACTACAGCATATTGCTTTTTGGACAGCTTTACCAATGCCCTTACAATTACCTGTCAGAAACAAATGGCATTTCTTTCTCTATGGTGTGGCACTTCATGATAATTCACATACTAGGAATGTGTAAAATCAAACAAAAGCAAACTGAGGCATGAAATATTTAGCTTGCTTTCTTCTGTTAATAAAGTTGCTGTAAGTTCATAACATGCTAATTTTCCTTAAAGCAGTTTGTATTTTCTCTGCATTTGTCAATATAAAACTTTCAGAGTACAATAGGGGAAGGTCGTTGATGATTTAAGCATGATTTTGTAGTTCTTGAGTTTCTGCCTTCTCAGTGTATTAGGAGTTTTGTTGGTACTAATAATTAGTGCTAAGTTGTTTGTAGTAACAGCATTCAAACAGCGCATAGGTAGCCAGCCTCATTACAGGTTTGAGGCTTAGTGGCCGAGAGCTGTTTTTAGGACTTGCAGAAGATTCTAATGTTCTGTCTCTTTCTTCTTCCTAGGTATCTGTATAAAATGTGGAAAAGGGGTGTATGGAGCGAGCCAGGCTTGCCAAGCAATGGGCAACCTCTACCATACCAACTGCTTCACGTGCTGCTCTTGTGGTAAGTCAGATCTACCATAGCCTTGTTAAGCGGCTTCCTTCTGTAACATCTATATGCCTTTAGCATTTAGTGTGCAAAGTGAGACCTCATCTTGCTGGCTTCCTAAGGCAGAATTCCCACGCAAGGCTCCAGCCTCAATGGAGCCAAATGTTACTTTTTACTTGCCATCTGTAAGTGTTCAATGGTGTTTTCTTAAGCAAGAGCCTAGAAAAGTAGTATTTGGTTGTTTTAAGGGCTGTGTTGTCAAAATGGCTTCAAACTGGCCTTTATAAGCACTACATATTTTAAATCAGCTAATGTTTGTGGAACTGTAATGTGCATTTATCATTTTTACAGAAAAACTATAAAACTTGTGCAGTCAGAAGCATTTCCTATGCACAAATGCAAGTCCAGTCCAGCATGTATGTTTGATATTTCTGTGTACACATAGCGCTCAAAAATTGTTTGTTTATGTTTGGATGTGATGAGAGCAAGTAGAATCTGCAAGTCAAAACACCTTAAAGGATTACAATATCTTGTTTTTGTAGAGGAAAACTTTGTAGGTAAATCACTGGCATTTCCTTGCTGCTCCCAGGATCTGCTTCAATTTCTATTTTAAATCTGAATGTATGTAAAAGTGATGTATTCCCTATGTGATTTGGGGGAAATCATGGCTTTGCCAGGGAAAACAGGGCTTGGAAAATTCAGGGCAGCACTTTAAGAAATGTTTGCAGTAAGTTAGACATTGTGAACTGAAGTTGGAAACCAATGACCTGCCTGTAAATTCTGAGGGTTCACAAATTTCCACCAAATTCAAGGCATCTATCAGAGCTTATTTTCAGAAGTCATATAACTTTTATTGCTATACATGTAGATATAGGTTCCTAATATACAAAAATACTGGCCAAGATGTTGAAAATCTTGCTGTGATATATACACACAGTAAAAGGTTTACTCTCAGCAGAATGTGCTGAGGCTAGATTGTTTATAAAAGGGATTAAATAAAGTTTAGAAAAAGAGTAAAAGATTATTGATGAAGAACAAGGTAACTTTCTAATGAAAAGACATTGTAAAATTCACCTGTGAAAGATGTGTATTTTTTTTCTCCTGTGCTTTGTACACATAGATAAATGTTTGGTGAAAGAAATCTACAACCTGAATATAGAATTATAAATCACTCTGAACCATTATCAGGCTCTAGAATAAACTTGTCTCAAATCTTATGGGGTCATTATCATGACTCTGCTCGAGTCTGTTGGTGAATGCGCAGCTATTTTCTTGGCTCCCAGAACAAATGAACTGCTCCAGCATCCTGCTTAGCAGAGAATTACAGATTATGTTATCGGATAGAATCTATCCACTCGTTGCCAACATTAACCCAGCCTAATTGCATGGGTGAATTACAGCTTCCTCTGTGGGGATTTCTTTTTTTTCTAAGTAGTCAGGATGCAAGTTTGTTACCACAAGGATCTGTATACAGGTCATTCTGCTCCTCAGAAGAATGTATAAAGGCCAAGGAATGTATTTTTTTCAGCAAAATACAATTCCAACTTAGTTATTCACAAGCACAACAAGCTTTTCTGACTGTCCTGGTGACATATGTGTGTGCAGTGTACATTTAGCAGAAGGTTACTTCAGGCATGTGCTTTCAAAATGTGTTTTTGCCCCATCTCATGGTGCTTGTGGAATTCCATTGCATTGCTCTCAGGCTGGAGAGCCCAGCTATCTTCTGTTAGCAGGTTTTGCAAGCAAAATGCCCTTGGACTTCCTTCTGTCTGCAACCTCTGATACAATCCCTTTAAAAGTAAGCCAGTTCTGTGTAGCCCAGGAATGTCTGCAATCTTTCTGTGTTAGGCACTGAAAAGGTGAATTGCAGAACATCTTGTGCAAGCAACTGAACACAAACTTCTCACAGCGCTTTGGTTTATGAATAGGCAGTTAATTTTATCTTCAATGTGACATTGGTTAGAAGTATGTCAGAATGTTGCGCTTTAGTTTTGGCTCAAAACAATGAGGAAAAACTGGAGAGAGTCTAAAATGAGTTATGTAGTTGACTAAAAGCTGGAAAAAAGCTTATCATAAGCTCAGTGTGTTTTGGGTATCCGAAGGAAAGGGGAGGAGAGAGGGAGCTTCACTAGAGCTCGAACACTTACTAGGAAGCGGTGTTAGAAAGTGGTGTTTTGTGTGCTGGAGACAAACAAGAGATCTGTTCTAGAGGCTGAAACTACACAACTCAGATGGGGGAATCAAAGTCAGTTTGTACACAATGAGGGCAAATAACTGCTGGAACAAGTAGCAAGAGAAGTGGTGGATTCTCCATTCCTCATTGTTTTAAAATTACAATCAAAGATCTCTCTGGATGATGTCTTAATCTGAGCCAAACTAGTTCTAGTACACAGGTAACCAGGTGAACCTGTTAATGCCTGGATTAGGCAACAGGTCACATCGCAGGAAGCAGTACTCCTCTGGACATGACACTCTGAATCTTGGACAGGAGAGCAGAGAAGTGCATTGCAGTTCTTAAGCACTGGCTGCATCTACTTAGAAATCTAAAATCAAGTAAGAAGAAAAGTTTATCCTTCTTTTTTTCCACCACTTCTCTTTGAATAACAAGAATGATCCAAGTTCCTCTCTAGCAGATACCAGTCCCCATTTCAGTAAAACAGATGTAGGAAGTAAATGACAGTAATTAAAGAAGAAAAACTCGATACCTGGAGACATTTGTTTTAGATAAGTGCCCAATATTTAGCTAGCTACAATTGTATCTATAAATCAAACACTTGGGAAATACTGTGGTTTGGAGATCAGTGACTGAAATGCAATGATGAATAATAGTCCCCAAGGGCAGCATTTCAGCACTTGGTAGCATTTTCAACTCGTCAAAGTACAACTATGCAGAAAAAGGTGAAGAGACCCTCAGGAAAAAATCCCCCTCAAGTAAGAATCCTCTCTTAGGCACCTGAAGCTTCACTTCTGTGTCAGTGCTCAGTACAATCTTATTGGGTGCTGTGGTTGAAAAAGCGTCTGCCTGGCGAAATGACATCTTGGGCCTTTCAGTGAACATACCAGCCCTTTCACCACTGCTGTCCTTTTTGACCCTTGTCAAAGCATATCAGAAGATTGCTGGAGCGGTTTGTGTTTTTCATAATTAGGAGCAAAATCTAAAATACACATATAAAGAGAGCCTCTGTGAGGACTCCAGCCTTGCTAGTATCAAAGTGTGAGGACTTAAGGACAGATTCTTGGAGCTTTTCACAGTATTAACAGTACTCAGTTATTTGAAAACATAACTACAAGAAGATAAGGAAATATTTCAGAGATACAGTAAATAAATAGGAAAGAAATGATGACTTCTGTCTCCTTTGGGCATCTTGGTCAAATAGTAAATCTGTTCATTGTCTTCCTAATTTCTAAGAGTTTGGGGGTAAACCTGGATACTGTATTGGTTCAGAATTGTATCGGATCTTCTCAGAACAAGAAATCTCACGGGTGAGATGGGATGAGAAGGATAGAAGGGAAATGTAAGTGACTTAGCAGACAGAGATGTTTTGTATTAAAATATAATTTCTGTCTCTTTAATGACCTCAACGGTGTGAATATTTGAGCCTTGCTCACCAAGCCCTTGGGAACTGCTAATATTCTGCATCTCAGAACTTTACCTTTCAAGTAATTTTTGTTGTTTTGTGATGTAAACCCCAGTGTTTTATGTAAAAAGCCACAGTACTGAGGCCTTTTTTCATAGGTCAGATAACTCACTTCAGGTAATGCAAAAGCTAAAGCTCTCTGATTTCTCTGGGATCAAATGATTCCACATAGATCTTGAGGTATAATCTCTCAGAGAAAAAAAATGAAGCTTTTTAGGACTTTTTTTTTCAAAAAAAAAAAAAAAAGACAGTTCAAATCTTCACTCTAAAATCAGTGAAACCTCTGTTAGACCTTGATACAGCAAAACACTTAGACTTAAGTGTGTTAAATTACTCATATGTAAACGTGCTTTCCTGAATGAGGGTTTTAAATAACGGAATGATTAATTTAGCCAACAACATCCACTGTCCCTTCTGCTAAATGTAAAATTTTAGTTTTGGCAAGAGTTCAACTAGAGAATTTGCTTACAGAAGACAAGAACAGAAAAATGTCTACCCGAAAAGCTCATCTAATCCCTCTTGGTAGTATTTCAGAGAATGCAGGATTTCTGGAGGGATAATTGCAGTAATGCCCAATTCACTTGGGCACTCCAAGTGCAGGTGATGGGCAGCAGGAACTAATGGAATCTCTTTGATACTTGTTACAGAAAGTAATTTACTAAGTGCTTCCACGTTTCAGAGGTAGCACAGTGCTCAAATCATAATGCCATCCACAATATGTTTTCAGGATGACAATCTGACATCAGTCACAGTCAGTATGAACTGCAATAAGATAAATCTTTACAATTGAAGAATAGCAATTTTTGCATTTATGTTACTTTTAGGATGGTAGTAGATGTGCAGAAAACGAACTTTCTAGAACAAGGTGTTTCACATGTCTGTGCTCTCAAACTGAGATGTGTTTTGCCATGAAACCCGGGACACATTCCGCCCTTTTACATGAAGGCCAGCGTTGGAGCATTCCATTTTCCTTTAATCTGCGCTTTAGCCACTGGCTTTAGGCACAGGAAATCACTGCAGGATCAATCAGAAGCCTACAGCAAACTGTATAACCCCAAAGGTATGCAGCTCATTTCTTACCTCATAGCTATTGATCACACTGAATCCTCATGGATTTTCGCAACCCAGTTTCATTTAAGGGACAGCTCGCCAAGGTGTCACAGTTCAGTTGATTCCTGGCAGTGCTGTTGCTGCCTCAGCAGAAGTGGCAAACGGGACTGCAGGTTTAGCTGCAGCCTCCCTTTACGTTTGCATAGGATCTAGCAGGCAACAGCTCTCCTGACTGAAGCCATGGGGTACTGCTGTGCGTAAATGTCTATTAATAAGAAATATGGTCATGTCTGGATGGAAAAGTTTCTTGTGTCACTTTTGCATATG